TTCAGAGAATCAATGTTACAAATGGGGACAAAGTGTCCAGAGAGCCTATAGATTTCTATTTAACTGATATTATAACAATGTTTCTATTAGAAAATAAAACCAGAATTCTATCAGGCTAGCAAAAATCTTTCTTTTTGCTTTCCTCCTCCCCATCCCCACCCTGCCCATCACCCATTTGTCAGAAAGATAGGCCCCCGCAGACTGGTAATGGCTGGGGTGCCATTAGAGGTGTGAGTTAGGAGGACACAGAGCAAAGCTTGGCTTGGGCAGGGTCAAGGGGGTAGGGAGTGGGGCCAGACAATCTATGGGGGCTCCCTCCTTTCTTCTCACACTCCCCTGAACCCGTGGATTTTCCTTTTGCCTCCCCCCAAAGTGGACCTTGATCCAAGGGTGAGTAATTTTTCTAAATAATGAGCTTTTAGTTGAAAATGGTTTTCCTTTTAAATGTATTTGATCTGAATTATTGAGTGACTTATAGAAAACAAAAGCAAATTACAAGGACAGAATTCTGTATTCTACAATATATGTCTAATTTAAAATACAGTGTAAATAGAACTTTCCGCCAAAAAAGAATTTTTAAAAAGGCAAATTAATTTCTAAAATTAGAATAAATTTCAGCACCTCCTGAGGGGCACTGGGAAGTGAGTAGAAAGGGTGCTGGCTTGTCAAGGTGACTGCGGTGCTAACGGCATTGGAGGAGAGGGGCAGGTCGCAATGTCCCCAGTACGCTGCTTCTAATACAGGGAGGACCTGCCCTACCCCAGACAATGACTGCAAAACCCATGACAGTGATAACAGAGCCAAACTCTTACAGTTCCTTCATTCTCACCGAGTCAATTTTAATTGCCAGGACATTAGTCAAGGGACTAGTGGCCACCAGAGTTGCAAAACACAAGGGTCACAGTCCTCGTCTTTCCTCCCGGTTGGATCAGAGGAGGGCAGAGCTGGAAGAGCCCTGGAAACTGGCTGACCCCATGCCCTTGTTCTTGTCCCAGGGGCAGAGATGCGGGAGCAATGATGTCACTCTGCTGGAAGCAACACTAACTCACACAGTGGCCCCAGAGCCCTGAACCAAGTGCCCTTTGCCAACGAAACATTAAGAAACATTGTGGAGTTGCACCATTGGCTCATTTTAACTTCTGCAAATGCAACTGTCTAAGTTTGGGGCAGAGTGGGAGGGAAGCAATCTGAACCGTGTGGGACACGCTGCCCCTCCTTCCCTGCTGAAGGGAGCCAGGATGTCAAGGGCATCTGAGTGTGGGAGGCTCACCGCACTGACATTCAACATGGGGTGACTCTATTAGAACAAGACCCTCTCCTGCCAGGACCAGGCAAACTTTTTTTTTAGTTCATGGATTTTTTAGCACTCAATATGAATAATTATAACAAACTTAAAGCCATTTTTAAAAAATTATGCGAAGCAAATTATCAAAGATAAAATAGAAACTTTGAACCATTAGGAACCCAAACTCACTAAGATGTATTGATTTGTTATGAAATTGGTACACACACTTTCATGGAAATGAAATTCTTTGACTGTTTTAATGTTGTGTGTCCCATTATCGCTTTCCTATAGAAATGATCGCGGCATTTGCCAGTTTGTCTTGTAAATCTCGAGAAGCTTCATTCTCCAGGGGCAGTTGATATTGGCTAACTGGTTTTGTATATAAATATATATGAAAGAACTCAGAAATGAATCATTGCTACAAGCATGCTGCGACACTCTAGTGGGGGTCAAAAACTGGCTTGATTAAAAACCTGTGTCTCCATAGTTACGTGAGAGGGAAAGACACACAGCAGCCCTATCCAGACAAGACTCTCTACCGTCCCCTATGGGAAGACTGTCACACTGGGGCGACTCTATTAGAACAAGACCCTTTCCTGCCATCTGCTGGAGAACGGTCATAATAAATACTAACACTGATGGCGACAAATGCCGTGTGTTTTTGGAAGGACCCTTTGGGGCAGAGCAACCATATGTGACAGCCTTGGACATAGTTACTAACAACAACAACAACAACAACAAAGCCAATTCCTTCCACCGGTTCCCAGCCAAAGAATGAGCAGTCTGCTCCACTGGCTACACTACACCCCACAGACCATTCTGGACTGGAATCAGAGGTCAATGAAGAGAGTTCCTGGGGCGATTCTGAATAGTTAATTTTCTCCTTACCCAGCCTTTATGTAAGGGGCGACTCTGTCTCTCTGGCATGGTTAGTCAGCAGACAATAGAACTGGAAAGGACGACTCACACAAAAAATAAAATTCAAATGACTGATAAACAAATGCGGGAAGTAGTAAAATCACCTTTGAACAAATAAATACAAATGAAATGACACTGTCAGTCAAGTCCTCACTTTTCTAGAACTCTCTACAAGGAAGACAGGAAGGAAGGGGGAGGGAAGAAGGGACTTTCCTGTCTGCCTACTGTCTTAACTATATTGTCCAAGCAACAGCAGATCATCCTGGCAGCGGCAGTTAGTCCCAGACTACTTTGGGGGCTTTTGCGGGGGACTCTCAGGACCAAACTCACCATGCAATGCTTCTCTTCAGATTATGTCTGAAGTCCCGTCTTTGCCAAACTCTTCTGAGTTCCTAAATTATCAGTAACAGCCAGCAAGAGCCATTCCTCAGAGGTCTGAGGTCCAGCTCTGAGGGGGTCCTCCAAGCACCCCTACCCTTTATCCCTCCAGCCCAAGGGGCAATAGCTGCTCCCTACAGTTCCTCTCTCCAGACAACCTCAGCGCCCTCTTTCTGCCCTTCCAGCCCTCCACTGCCTATGTGATTAATTCCCTCTAACATATTATATATTTTCCCTAATTTGTCCTTCTGATATTTAGGCTATTTTCTTCTTTTCTATTAAAAACCATGCTGAAATGAACATTGGTACCTGTCTCTTGGTATACATAGGTGATAGCTGTCCTATAACGTGGAGCCAAAAGGAGGATTGCTAGGTAACAGGTATGAACATCTTCAAATTTATTAGTCAAAATCCCTTTCTGCAATTCAGAAAAGCATTCTTAGTCCGCCCGACTTCCCAAAGCCCACATTCTAACCCACCACCCAGACTCCTTCGGCATAAGCAGTGGGGAAAGCTGGGGATATGTTTACCCAGGCTTCCCCAGCTTCCTGTCTGTTCATGGCTCCTCAAACTGCCTGACCAAAGGGTGCCAACAAATTTAGCATCTCACCCAGGATGTACTTCATGTACACCTGAATGCTTTGATCCCTTCACTCTGACAAATGTCGCAGCTTTGGTGGCATGCTCTTAAGCCTACTCCTGGCTGTGTATGTCCCCTCACATGGAGTATGTGTTGTCCTCTGCTCACCAGCACCTGTCCCTTCTGCAGAAGCCAGGCCATTGCCCTAAAAACATGCTCGAGGATGGCATCTTCCCTTATAACAAAATATGAAGTGGGAGTCATTCTGCATTTTTCAATCCAGGTCTTTATTTTTCCTGTACAAGTATGAATGTAGGCATAACTAATAGTTAAGGCTTTTAAAATATATGCATTTTGAGACTACATTGCTAGTTACATTTTGCTGATATGAGCTTGGATCACACTTCCCTTTAACAGACATTTTACATTCATTTTTAAAAAGTTAAAATGGTCAAATGAGCCATAATAAAAACCAGAAGAGGCCCATAAAAATCCAAAATACATACTTGGAAATGCAGCACCTTTTGCATGAACTCCATCCAGGTCCAGTTGGGTAGCATGTTATATTATAACACTAAACCACTAGGCTTTGAAGTGGTCAAAGCAAAATGGGGCATTTTGTCTGAGGAGAAAGAGAAGCAAAAAAAGGAGGAGGAAAGGAAGGAGGGAAAGAAGGAAGGAAGGAAAGAAGAGAGGAAGGGAGAGAGAAAAAGACAGATTTAAGAGAAAAAAAAGAGAAGTAAAACCCTCCGATATGGCTTGTCTGCAACAGGAGAAGGGTAACTTACGATGCATATTTAAGCAAAGAATGGCTCATTGAGGTTATAATATTTTATAAGATATATAAATATATATAAATGGAATTCTATTTACTGAATTTTTTCAAAAGCTAGATTCTGCACTCTACATGCTTATTGTTGGCTAAGAGCTTTGCCTCTGGTGCAATTCTGAGAGGGAGCGAGCCTGAGTCTCCTGGATAAAGAGGCAGTTAGCAAAGATGTGGCCTAAGTGTCACATCATCTCAAAGTCCCTGTTGTCAGGTTTGTCTGGCTGAGGACTTCACTCCTACCTCCAGCCTGAAGGGCCCTCCCCTGAACAAGACTGTCCCCCTCCGGCCAGGAGAGGCTGGCCCAGAGCCCCAACTCAAGGACAAGTGGGCTGTCTCTGTGTTCCTTCGGGAGTTAGAAGGGCGGTCTCCTACACCGAGATGCTTTTTCCATGAAACAGAGTCCTATGTCACAGGGGCTGGATGGCAGGGTGACTGGATTTGTGCTGCACACTCAAAGTGACCTCAAATGGGGTGATCTTGCTTCATCCTGTGCTTGTCACAGCACCAACAAAGGCCCAGGTTTCTAGGGTCTCAAAGAGTCTGTGAAGAGAGACCAGGTTCAGAAATCTGCCCCAAACTGCTTGTGTGAGGCTGCTTTGAACTTGTTACCACATTGTACTTTTTCAGCCTCTGTGACATCTCCCTTAGCAGTTGGTGGCGGGAGTGCGAGAATGGGAGGGGGACTGAGTAACCTTCCACTTACAGTGAAAAGTTCAGAAGTCGAAAAATTCCTTATGGATAAAAAAATAAGGGTTCTGTGCCTAGGCTTTCATAGCTCGCACCAGGGACACCTTGCACATTACAAAGCCCTGCCCTATGTAGTGTTTCATGGAAACCTCGTAATAACCTGCCACTCGCCAGAGGCTGACATAGCAAGTCTTCTAGATGAGGAAATCAGGCTCTCTCCCGAGCCCACAGCTTGCAAAGGGCAAGGGCAGCTGGAATGCCACCCCGCCAAGTCTCTTGCCATGTAGCCACGGTCACAGCATCACAGTGACAGCTGGCTCTGGGAAGCAGGGGACAGACCTCTGTGTTTTCACTGTTGTTTGGTCTCTGGTTCTGGGGCGTCCCCATCAGGCAGAGGGCTGCTCCCACTGACCTTCACCTGGCTTTCCAGTTGGCTGAGACGCTGCTTCACCTTCATCTGGGTGGCACTGTACTCAGCCAGGAGCCGTGCGAACCTGGTCTGCAGGGCGTCCAGGGAGAACTCCAGGTACTCCACCTTCTCCTCGAGGTCCTTAGGGTCTGGCCCGGCCTTGGCCAGGTCCTCGTCGATCAGGTTGTCCTTCATAAGGATCTGCCTCCCCTTCTCCTCCAGGGCCTTCTTGGCATCAGGGTATTCAGTGAGCGCTTCCATTAGGTCATCCTTGGAAAGGCAGAACAGGTCTGAGTAGCCGAGACTCCGGATGCTGGCTGTCCGACGATTCCCCGACTTGCTGCCCTTGATGTTCAGGATGCTGATCTCCCCAAAGTAGCTCCCATCGCTGAGCACCACGAACTGAGTAACCCCGTCATCGGCCACCACGGCCAGCTTGCCCTCCTTAATGATGTACATCTCCCTCCCGATGTCCCCCTTCTTGCAGATGTAGTCCCCAGGGCTGAACACTGCAGGCCGCAGCTTCAGCACGAGCTCCACCAGTAGCCCTGCCTCACAGTCCTGGAAGATGCGGACCTTCTTCAGGGTGTCCAGGTGCACATTGATGGCAATTTCTGCCTTCAGCTTGTCCGGGAGGCTCTTGAGCACTTCCTTCTCATCCACCGTCTTCTTGTTGGCCCACAGGTAGTCAAACCACCGGATGACCCGTGTCTCCAAATCCTTGGTCACCTTGCGGAATTGCATGTACTGCTTGATGGAGTCAATCTTGGCCTGGAACTCAGCCCGCGAGGCATTCATGTTCGAGATCATGGAGCCCACATTGCCCACGATGGTGGCAAAAATCAAGACACCCACCAGGAAGTCTACGACCACAAAGAGGTACTCCCCATCTCTCACAGGAGGAGGTGTCTCGCCAATAGTGGTCAGGGTCAAGGTGGACCAGTAGAGGCTATAAATGTACTTCCTGGAGAGGCGCCCATACTCTGGGTTTGAGATGTTTGGGTAGACCCAGGAATCTGTCCCAAAACCGATGAACTTGGAAATGGCGAAGTAGATGCAGGCGTTCCAGTGGATGATGACAAGGATGTACAAGACCAAGTTCCCAATCCTGAACACATTGGGGTAATTAGTCCTTGTCTCCGTGCGGTCGAAGAACTCGAAGAGCCGAGTCAACTTCAGTAGGCGGTTGAACCTCAGTTCTGGGTAGTTTACACCCAGCTTCAAATAAGCCAGGTCTGTGGGGACCAAGGCCAACACGTCCAGCTTGAAGTACAAGGTCTTCGTGTAATGCTGCCACAGTCTCTTGCCATCCCTGACCATCAGGCCTTGCTCGAGGAAGCCTAAAGAAGAGGATGGAAGTCACCTGTACATCAAAGGGGCTGCTCATTTTTGACCACAGCAAGATATTCCACAACATGATGACAGAAGACGTAGTTATATACATGTGATAAAAACCGCTTCCAAAACCATGCTTACCAATTATTACTGAAAATGCACTCTGATATTAGAACATCATATAGTCTATGATGTTCTAACCTATTTTATTCAATTAAAAAATATAGGAAAACTGGGTACATTTAAATGTAGATTGGGTATTAGATGATAGCAAAGAATGATTGTTGAATCTTAAAAGATAGGTGGAAGTTATGCTTTAAAAAATAGGCCCTTTAAAGTTTCAGATACATGCTAAAGGAGTTATTGTCTGAGATTTGCTTTAAAATACTCCAGCCAAGAAAAGGGGGTGGGGTTGGAGAATGAATCAAGATTGGTGAATTGTTGGTAACTGTTGCAGCGGATGAGGGCATGGGTGAGGGCATGTGAGGATTCATAACACCATTTGCTCTGAATTTGTATATGTTTGAAAATACTAATAAAAAATTTAAGAGCACAGGCCATGGCCTATCCAACTGATTCATCGGTCACTAATGGGGCACGACCTGCCTAGGAAAGCAGTAATTCTCCTTCCTGGCTACACATTACTGTTGAAAACATAGAACCTCA